TGATATCAAATAATTACATAATATATATTTGAAATGATAAAAATTGGGCTAATTGGGTTGGTCGATGTTGACCATTGAATAACTTTAAAATACATTATATTTTAGCCACTAAGATATAAAATAATAGCATAATATATATTATACTAGAGAAAATAGCTTGTTTTAGAATGGCAAACCCATGATGTTCATTTATTTTACTTGATGGGCAAATCCCGTGTAGGTCAGACCCATTCAACTCTTTTATTTTATGATTAGTGGTTAGCCCATTACAATCCATGCATTAGTTTATTGTTAAATTTTTTTCTTTTTAGCAATAAAAATGAGTATTGTTTTTGTCTTTTCATATATATTTTACCACCACGGAGAAATAAAAGGACTTAAAGAAAAAAATTGACACTCCTGGACCCGTTTAAATCCGCATGTGTACGTTAAGTTGGCCCGTTCCACAGAGGAAAAAAAAAATTTGACACTCCCTATTCTACCCTTCCTACAAACGCTCTTGGAGTAGGGAATTTGAAATGGGGGAATGATTTTTTCCTCTCTGGGATTATATGTTTTTAATTTAAAAAGATACAATAAATGTACTTAGTGTGATTTGTTATGGTCTTTGCTTTTCTTTAAAGTGGTCATGGTTCAAATCCTTGTAAGTGTCTTTTTAATGAATACAAAAAAGTAATTGTGAAGACCAAAATGTCCTTCCTACTTTCACTCTGGATGTAGGAAATTTGAAATGGGCTTCAAGTTTTCTCATTTGGCTTTTATTTATTGTGTAGATTAAACGGAACAATTGCACCCCAAGCTGATCATACAGCACGCAATAGTTCTGTTGATGCCAAGTTTAGAGCAGTCTGCTTCAATATGTTTAAGGTCTGGAGAGCGCTGATTTCCCAAAGCCTTTAACCACCTACAGCTCCGTGCGAATACCTGAAAAAATGTCCCACCGGGGGGGGGGGGGGGGGTCCTCGTTGGAACCTCCTCTGACGCTAAAATTGACATTAGACTTGGTTCAGTCCCATTGTCGTAATTGAGCATTGTCGGGTATTTAATGCCGCCCAGTGGAGACTATCCACGATTCCATGAATTAGTCCGCCAAATTGAGGGTGTGTTGAGTGTTTAGAGATTTAACACATTTTGGGAGATCGGGAGGAGAGAGAAAACGTTTTTAGAGAGAGTGTGTATTGTGTGTGAGTTGTGTGAAGTAGTCGTAAGCGACTTATGTTGTCTTGAGGGACTTGTGGTGTGTTAAGAAAGGGTGAGGGGTGCTCCCTATTTATAGGAAAAAGTTGTAGTTGAATTCCTCGACTTACGTTAACATTCACCAACATTCTCCTATATTCGTTAATATTCTCCACTATACCTTAATATTCTCTGTCATACGCCAATATTCCGCACCAATTATGGTATATGAGAAAGTGTAAGTATGTAATAGAGAATAAATGAAAATAAGTGAGTGATTAGGGAACATAGAAAATTGGTGAATGGTTTTGGTTCTCTACTCTACGTACAGTGGCGGACTCAGGATTATGGAAGAGGGGTGTCGTCGATAAAAAATTATAAAAAATAAAATAATTAAATAAAAATTTAGTTGAAGGAAATTGGGAGAAAAAAAAAGGGAAAGAATTTGGGGAAAGATGGAAGAAAGAGAACGAATAAACAGGAAAGGAGAGGAATTGTTCTTCCACTTCACATGTGGAAATGTAAGGGAAGAAAAAGACAAAGAAGTTTGTTGTCTTCTTTTCTCTATATGAGGAAGGGAGATAGAGAAATAGGAAAAGAAAAGAAAGAAAAAGGGAAGAGGACGTGGGAAAGAACAAAACTTATGGTTATGGAAAAAGAGGAAAGATAAAAGGACAAAGGTGAAGTGTAGAGAAGTGTAGGAAAGTGAATGAAAAACAATAACAAGATTTACAGAAATAAACAACATAGTAGACGGAGGGGTTCTAACAGTATAATACAAATTTTTGGATGTTTCGGATACCATATTAATTAAGAATATATCGAGTGTATAAATGGAAGGAGAGATGGCTAATATTTTAAAATTTTATCAATTAAGAACTGGGTTTATCAAGTTCAACATAAGAGTAGGAGCAAAAAACAAACGAAGTCCCCGCGGATACGAATGCCCGATCGATGCAAGGTAGTCCACCACGACATTACCTTCCCTGCAAATGTGTTTCATCACCACCTGCCAGTCGAGCTGCAATAACCTTCTTATTTCCGCCACTGAAGTATAATGCGGATGAGTTGGAGTTGTGCTTCAATGAGCTATATAGCCACTCTCGAGTCTGTTTGAATCACAGCCTTTCGAATACCGATATCGCAAGCACACCTCAGACCTTGTGTTATTCCAAGCAGCTCCGCCTGCGTTATAGATCCTTCGCCAATATTTAGAGTGAAAGCTTGCAAGAACCTTCCAGAATCATCAGGAATTACGCCACTTGTTGTAGAGCCCTGTTGCGACAAGATCACTGAACCGTCGGTATTAGTACATGCCCAGCCCGACGGCGAGCTCTCCCAAGAAATCATCCTCTTCTCCCAAATGCCCGGTGACCCCATTGTATTTTCCACCCGAGCAAAGGCTGCTTCAATCCGGCTTTTAACTCGCCTAACTTCAGCCTGTAGCTGGGTAGCAGATTTGATCTTCTCCTCACATACGCCGGCATTCCTGTTCTTCCATAGCAGCCAACAGGTGACTGCAAAGAGCATGGCCTCAATAGGCTCACTTCGTCCGGCTAAGTAGTGCATTACCCAGCTTGTGAGATAGGGTTGAAAAAAGTGGCGTCCGACTCATTGTCCACAATATCCGACCACACCTAACGAGCGTATGGACAGTCACGAACCACATAAGGGGTCGTCTCGCCTTCATTACCACAAATCGGGCACTTCGTCGTAGTCGAGATGTGTCTCCGGTTCCCCTCCACATTGGTCAAGAGGCGGTTATGCATTACTCACCAGAAAAAGGTGCGGATTCTTTGTGTAGCTGGGGTACGCCACACAGATCTCCAGACATGGTGATCGCTCGGAGGGTGCTCCTCTTCATCTAGCATTTCATAAGCCGTTTTCAACGTGAACTTTTCCGATGGAGTATAACGCCATGTGGGAACATCTTCCGCCTGCTCATAGGGCACAGGATGAAGTCAGACAAGCTCCGCTACCTGCTGAGGAAGGGATGCTCTCATGTATTCCTGGTTCCAGACCTCATTTAAAATCATCTCCGCCACCGTTAGAGAGCTCTCTATCGGGGGGGGGGGGGGGGGTCCTTCCGGCAGATCGGCTAGGGTGGGTCCATCAGAGATGAGATGGATTACCTGCAGTACACCTCGCCACATATTGGATAACCATCCTGTAGTTCTTGGCTGGATTCCATTATCACCTTGCTTTAAGTACTTGGCGCGAACAACTCTTGCCCACAGGTCATTAGGCTCCGTGAACATCCGCATGCAAGCTTGAGCATGAAAGCATCATTCATCTTCTTGTCAATTAGTGCATTAAAGGTTGCTTGCGAGACTTGATCGTGGATCAATGGGACTCCTAGGTACCGCCCAAGATTTTTGGTTTCTGGGATATCAAGCCCTGGACTGATTTTGTTTGCCATGGAGGAGCCAACAAAATCGAAGTCCTCTAGAATTTTGTGTATCACTGATACCTGAGCCATAGAAGCCACTCCGCAGAGGATTAGATCATCCGCAAAAAAGATATGTGAAAGATCAGGACCTGAATGCAATAGTCGGATCCACTTCCTTTGGCCTCGAGCAACTGAATCATTGATAAGATGACTCACCCTTTCCATGAAGAGCGTGAAAAGGTAAGGGAAGAGGGGACATCCTTGACGTAGTCCTCGAGACTGAGTGGATTCGTCCGTTAAGCCCCCGTTCCATTGGATCCGCATCCTGCTGGTGGTGATGCACTCCATAGCGAGATTCACAAAACTAGTTGGGGCACCAGATGCTTGTAATGTGTCTCTAACAAAGCTCCATTTGATGTGATCATAAGCTTTGGCAAGGTCGATCTTCAAGACCATCCATCCAGTTTTCCCAGTTTTTGCTCGCATCGAGTGCACTACTTCTTGCAAGATACAAATAGTGTCAGTAATGTGCCTTCCTCGCATGAAGCTGGTTTGAGTTTCATGGATCAGCTTCGTCATAAGAGGTTTCAGCTGGTCAGCTAGACATTTTGTGATGATCTTGTATCCCTCATTGCAGAGACTTATTGGTCAAAAGTGCTCTATGAGTGAGGGGCTCGCCACCTTTGGTATCAACACCAGTGTCGTTTGATTGAGTATTTTGATCCTTCCCAGTTCAGTCCAGCAGCTCATGAAAAATCTGAGTACATCGGGCCCCACCAACGACCAAAAATGTTGTTAGAACAACGGGTGTAGGCCATCTTCATTGGGAAACCATGCAGGAAAGTGGTCAATTCAGCCCCATCATCAGACATTAGTGTATAGGCCAATATAGAAATGTCGTGCCATGTCCTGCAGCTCTGCCATATCTTTAGTCCAATCACCATTCCCATTTCGAAGCAAGATGATCTGATTTCTCCATGTATGATTTTTGACACCAGAAGATCTCCTCCTGTAGAAGGACCTCCTCCAACTCGACCCTAAGTTGCCTCAGCCCCTCATGCTCTGCATCCCCGCCCAGTCGGTGCTCCAACCTTTCAATCCTTTGTAATAAATATTCCTTCTTTCTATTAATATTTCCAAAAGTGAAACGATTCCACTGGCTTGCATCCTTGGAGAAGGCCTCAATGTTAGATGCGATATTAGAGCCTTTCCACCAAGCCTCCTCCGTCATGTTAGCAAAATCCTCATGGGATAGCCAGGCTGCAATGAATTTGAAAGGCTTAGGACCTCGTGCCTAGATATTGGGTTGCAGCTTGATTAACAGTAGTCGGTGGTCGGACTTGATACGAGGAAGATGAATAAAAGTCGTCTCAGGGAAAGCTGTCGACCATGTGTAATTAGCAAAACCTCGTTCCAGTCTCTCCTTTATCCCTTGTCAGAACCAAGTGAACAAGGGGCCAGTGAATTGCAAGTCAATGAGTCTCGTATCTAGAAGGCAATCTTGAAATTCCCGTACGCAGCTTGCATCAAAATCCACTGCTCCAAATTTCTCTGACGCATGTAGTAGGGAGTTGAAATCTCCGCAAAGCAGCCACGGGTTGGACATGTTGGTAGCAATGTCACGAAGAGAGTCCCAAAGGGCTCCATGTTGCACGAGGGTAGGGCTACCATATACTGTCGTAAAGTACCATTCAGTAGCTCCTATCTTTCCTCTAACAAGGAGGAATTGAGATGATCGCCCAGCTTCTACGATATGCACTATAGAGGAGTCCCATAGTAGCCATATCCCCCTAGGGAAGCCAACCGCGTCCACCACCAGAACCCCATCAAAGCCCATCTGCTCGATTACTTTAATAGTTGTATCCCCGCTTATATTCCCTAAAAACACACATAAAGCGCTTGCTGCTTGCACCCCTAAAATTTCATGAGAAAATTTTGGCATCCATGAGATTGGAAACTAGTAGGGTAACTCTAGTTCTTGACGTTAGGTTACCGGATGCACCCCCGTGGGGGTAACCTCCAATAATCCTCCTGTACCAATAGACTTGCCAAAGCCTGATGTGTTGTCGTCCAGACCCCCCTCAGAATGTGTGCAATGTGTGAGGTACGTAGTTTGCATGGCGTGCATGACGAGGGCAGTCGGGTGTCACTCTCATTTGGGGTCATCGTACTCTGCTCCCGAATTACACCATCTTCCGCGAGCCCTTTCTTCGATACAGTAGTAGTCGTTGATAATTGGGATGGTTTGGGGTTCGGAGCAGTACATTTACTGGGTTCTTGTACCGACTCCTCTCCTAGCTGGGACCCTAGAACATTGTCCACTTCCATATTCAGTGTGATTCAAGCTTATGTGGTTTCTTTTTCCTTAATGCTCGTAGTCACCCTTTGGGTGGCCATATTGTTAGCCTTCTCAACCCATACTTTTTGTTGTTGAACTCTTGTGACCTTCTTGGACGAATTGCTTATCATATTTCGAGAACCCTATTTGTTGGTACCATGGCTTCCGGTTGCATTTTCTTTAGCACTCGATCCAAAACTATCTTCCTCACCAGCGAGGATGTCAAATCGGGAGCCAGAAGAAGTGTTTTGAAACCCAGTTGGTGGCATTTTAATAGCCTTCTGGCTTCATCATGTTTCGTGGTAGTTTCTGTCACGGGAATATGTCTCTTCTGGCTTGGATCCTCTGCTTTTTGTAAAGTAGGGCAGCTATCCTTGGCATGGCCGTGCGTGCCACATTCAAAACATATATTAGTGAGGCCTTCATAGTTGATTTCGTACTTAATCCCCTCCACTTTGTATATAAAAAAAAAGTGGTCGGGTTAAGTCGACTTCAATGCATGCCCTTGCAAACAGTCCAAGGGCTCCCAACTCCGTGGCACGATCAACTCTAATTGGCACGCTAGCCTTGCTAGCAATCCTGAGCACTGCTTCAGGGTGGAAGAGTTCAATGGGGAGGTCCGGCAATTGTATCCACACAAGTGTGGATGATATGGTGCAAGTCCTCGGATTAAATCCTTTCTTCCACTTCTGATTCATGAGATAATGGTCACCAATCATCCACGGTCCCCTAGTGATCACATGTTAATAGTCTAGCTTGTTAGTGTATCGGAAAAAGAAAAACCCATTGGCACGATTTGTAATCTGGATGGGGCCATGATCGGATAGGGAAAGGTCCTACCCAACACTTTGACCATGATAGCTGAGCGCCATTCGCGTCTGTAGTTCCTCCATTTGGTTGGCGTAAATCGCACAGTGGTGCATAGAGGGTTGTTATCCTCTTGATCCGGGGCTTCGTTATCATCTTCCCTAATCGCCTCAGCCACATCTTCATAGTCCGAGTCCGCTACATTCCAATGCTTCACTGAACAACTTCTTGCTTTCCATACCCCAGGCTACCGGCTTAGGCTGCGGCTTTGGCCCTTGTTCTAGTAGGTTGCGAACCCTATCCCCCTCTGTTGTGGTTTCCGGCATGCTGCTGTGATTTAGTTCTTCCTCGATACTATCTTCTACCATCACCTCGTCCATCTTCGTATTGTCGTCCGTCAAGGTAAGCAGTCGAACTCTTTCCTTTTGGTGAATCAAGTCGCTGTCTTTCTTGCCGTCCGACAACGAAGAGACCTCAGGGGGACGTCGAGTTCCTGCTGTTGGATCCGGTGGCTTTCCATCCCCCATCCCTGGCACCGGAGGGTGGACGGCGCCGTCGCTGCCATCTTGGGGGCGAACCCTGCTAGCAAAAAACCCTAGGCGATTTCCTAGCTCCAAGAAAAGCGGAGCAAAAAACCCTAATTCGATTCCTGGTGATGGTTTAAATATAAAGAATGGTATAAAATGTTATGGGTGTATAGAAACAAAAATTTATGGATTTCGTTGTAATTGTTTACTAATAATAATAATTAATTCAATTACTATTAAATTAAAAATTGATTTATAAGGGTGAACGCAGGCGCATATTGTACGCCTGGTGTACGCTAGCCATTGCCATATATAAGAGAAATGAAATAAAATCTAAACTAACAAATCGATGGTTTTCTACTAGTTACCGAGGTTCCTCGGCAACAGTGCCAAAAAGCTTGATCGATTCATTTCATGCAAGTCATTGTTAGTAGTTTGCACATTTCAATAACTACCCCATAGTAGGCTTAGTTTAACTTAAAATGGTGTTGTTATATAGTGGAAATCAAAGTCGTATTCACTCGGGTCTTGGTACCCTAGCATACTTCCCACGTTGTTGTTATCTATTCAAACGGTTTAAGATGTTGTGTTGGAGGATTCATGTGAAATAACTAGTAGAGAGAATAAACAAGGATAAAAGATGGTACTTCAGGGAACTAACCCTCAGCCTAGTCCAGGTCTATCATGTAAATGTCTAAATATGTTGGGTTAAGAGAATGTGGTGAGTGAGTTCTTTTCCGTGGGCCTTCGTGATTATCTACACGCCTCTGAGTACGCCTCCCCTAGAACCATGTCAGTCACCTCGATCTAGGCTATCGTATATGAGGCTATAAGAACATAGCTAAATTCAATGGGTACTACCCACTATCCACATCGAGGTTTCATCCCAGGTTCTATTTAGAAAGGCATTCTTATGGCAGGGGTAAGGTCGCCTCGTCCACCACAAGATCCTATTCATTCATCTAACCCTAATTTTTCAGATGGCGCATACCCGTCTAACACTAAAACTCCATACCCAGCGTAGAAGCTCAAGTAGGCTAGTAGAGAAGATTAGGGCGACTTACCCAAGCACAATTAAAGATAGAGAAGCATTAAAATCAACTAGATAATCACATTCATTCAAAACCCATACATACACAACCTATACACTAGGGTTCATCTCCCTGAACAACCATTAGAGATTTAAGTCATAGATAGAGAAAGAAAACACAAACTAAAAGAGAGGGAGTGATGAAATCAATCTTCTTCTCCTTGCTTGCACCTTCCTCTTGCTCCTTTGGTGCATTGGATCTTCAAATAAGCTCTTCTAAAGTATTTCTCCCTCTAAAAACACCGCAAAATCCTAAATTTCTCACTCTAGGCCAACTCCCCTTTGAAAAGTGCAGCAAGAGTGGTATTTACAGAAAGCTAATGGCAATCAGGGCCTCTAGAGCGTGACGCGATGGTCACGGCCGTGACCAGTTTGAACGTCCCTGAATCGCCCAAAGTAACGTGTTTTGACTCCATCTTTTTAAGTTCTGAGATCGTGGCCTCCTTCTTAAGATCGTGGTCGTGATCTTTGTGTCCCGGGCTTGACCTTTGTCGCCGTCAAAATGCACCATGCGCGGGATTCCACTGGGGAAACTTTCTGCCTTCTTCTTGGTTGCCTACTGAAGTTCACAGTCCTGATCTACAGCTCGCGAACATGGACACGGCCTGGTGGTCATGGCCGTGACGTGTGGCCATAACCAGTACCTCTTCTCCCCTTGCTGATCCTTTGCTTCCCAATCGTGTTCAGATGAACTCCAATCGATTCTCGATCAATACCAAATGCATATAAGAACTAGAATTTCATCATAAACACTTGTAAAAGCATAAAATAACTTGAAATGAAACAAAAATAGCCACAACTAACTTGATATGTGGCCTAGGCACGATGATTTTGACACACAAATGCCTTAAGAATAAAGGCTAAATAACACCTATTTTAGGTGTTATCAACGGCGGTTTACATTTTTGCCACAAACCGTCGGGCCACGAAGCGGTTTTATGGTTGAACTAAAATAGACAGAGGATCGTTTGAGGCCCGATTTTCCTAGGAAATGGCAGGATCATGATGATCTCTTAAGACCCCATTTCCTTAGACATGATCTTTTTATAAAGAGTACAAGTAAGTGTCACATTATATAAGCCCAAATCATTGAAAATAATCAATATGATTAATAATTAACAAATTAATTTTATAAACCACTAAGTACGTTAACAAAATAAAATATAATAAAGGTTGAATAATTATATGTACCTCCACATTGTTCCAAACATTCATTGAACGATAGTTTGGTTGGTCATGCAAAACGCTTGGATGACTCGGTCCTTGATGATATGACCCTAATTCAAGAATCCTCCCAAACTTGGACAAAAAATCAGAATCGCACAATGTCGAACTCTTCTTCTTTCTCCAGTAACATGAAAATAAAGGATAACTTGCGGAATCGATCATAAAGATCCGAATTAGTATATGAAACCAATCAAGCAATCTGAAACCCGTGGATAAGGCCAACCGATATCGTCGATGCTCGCCAAAACTAGATGTGATCTTCCAGTTGATAAGAGAAACTCAAACCTCCCGAATCTTCAAAGGATAATTTAAGAAAACCTTCACAAAAGAACTCGAGTAAACACTCAAAAGATCCAATTGCAGCTCAAGTGTACACCTTCCAATTGCGTTCCACCAACCACGTGGGTGAATCCCTCTAATTGCGAATGAGGTCGTGGTCGTACTGTTGGTTTTCAGCCTGTAGCCCCAGGTTCGAATCATAGAGACGACGCTCGTTTTCCCTTTCCCCACCCCTCTTATAGCACCATATAACAGGTTTTTGTAAAAGAAAAAAAATCGCTCTAATTGGTTTCATAATTGAAAAGTGATTGTTTATTAATCCTCCTCATGTATTAGCTCGTCACTTCCTCGAGTTGGAAGCAACTATTAATGTTTGAAGCGCAATTTATCCATTAAAAACGCTACCAATTGATCCTTATATCAATAAATCTGACTCTTCATTTTTTAACCATGAGAACTATATATACGGACATTCAATTTCACATGAATAAACTCGTAGTTTTTGCTCGTAGAGCAATTTTCTCCCATATTGAATGCTCTCAAACTCTCTATAAATCTCTTAAATCGTCTTTTGATCCATGGTCTATATAGGGATCTAATTTGAACTTGAGTAACGTCCTCTGGGGTGAGCGGGGTCGCATCATTCCCTCCCTCTTGAGAAAGATTTGCCCTCAAATCTTGCTGCCACATATAAATGTTCTTACATGACTTTATTATTTCCCATCTTGAATATGCACCTTGAATGACAAGCTTATTCAAAAACTCTTGAAGTCTTCGTTTCTCTCTAATATGAGCCTCCTTTTATGATACTTCATCTCCAATAACCAACTCCATGCACTCAGCACTCGCACCATAATCTTCCATTTGAATTGATTTGCATTGAGTAGAGTTTTGACCATATTCAATAGCAGAATTTGATGTTGGTGATGTACTTGCGATGTCGATGTCGCCCATGGACGAATTTTGGTGATGTTCAATGACATCTCCAATAGAAAAATATACTCCATAGGTGACGACACAATTTGGACTTCTTCTGACAAGATTACACCCCAATCCAATGAACGGTTCTTTTCCTTCTCACTAAGGAATGCGAAATTCACTTCTCTTTCCTCAACTTGTAGAACATTTACCTTCGTCTCATACCTTCATTGTCACAGACAGCCCGTTCACAAATTTCATCTCCAATTGTCAACTCAACATGCTTTGTAGATTCTTCAACAAGCGAAAACACTTCTGGATCCTCTTTCAAGTTTACCTCATTATGATCAAATTCCATTATCATGTTGGTGATAGGCAGCACTTTCTCTTCATCTTCCATTTTAAGTTCTATTTATTCTTTGACTTTCTCTTCTACTTCAAGTTTTGGTTCTTCTTGAGATAAAATCAAGGGTAAATACAATTTAATATCCAAACCTTTCATTTTAAACAATATAATAGCCAAACCTTTTCGAAAACAATCTAATATCCAAATCGTCAACTTTCCGTCCGTTTGACCGTTGGTTGACACTTCAAAAAAGCTTTGTTTAGGGGAAATTGTCACAATACAACTTTGTTTTCTTGTTTTGGCATTGCAGATGACTGAATATTTAGATATTCTATACCATCATGGTGGAGTCATGGACTTCTCGGGTTTGGAACCACGATATGTTGGTGATTTTTCAGAGAAGATATCGATGGATATTGATGAAGCGTCGTACTTTGAACTTTTTTGAACTGTCAACTAACGGTCAAACGAACGGAAAGTTGACGATTTGGATATTATATTGTTTTCGAAAAGGTTTGGCTATTATATTGTTTAAAATAAAAGGTTTGGATACTAAATTGTATTTACCCTAAAATCAAAGCTTGTGAATCCTCTTCACAAGTGATTATAGTAAGTCCATCAACAAGAACCTCTTCTTTCTCTTCCACTTCTTCTTTGAATTCCTCTGCCACTTGGGAAGTAATCAGATTTGTAGTAGCATTTCTTTCTCATCCTTGACTTAAGCTTATACTACAACTCCCTCACCATGGATTGAGCATAAAGAAGCATCTCTTTTATAAACATTAACGGATCTTGCACTAGCAGTCTCTTTCTCTTTCTTAATCCTTTTGTCTGCTTCCATTAGCTCCCTTTCAACAAGCTTCTTCTCATTGTCACTTTGTTCTTTGTGCACATTCTGGACATTTCGTTCTCCGAGGACACTGTACGTCTTTTCATGGGACATTCACTCGCCATGTGACCTTTTTCTTGACACTTGTAGCACATAACATCACTAGAACAAAAATCACATAAAGTTCTTTTTATGCTATTATTAAATTATATCATCATTTTAAAAAATTCTATTAAATTAAATTTCGAGTTTAGGTTAACAAAATCGAACCACGAGCTTGTTCATTAAAGAATATGGAATAGTTTCGTACT